TTCACACTGACGCAAGTAACGCAGGACTTGGCGCGGTACTAGTTCAAGTACAAGAAGGCACCGAACGAGTCATCGCCTACGCAAGTCGGACACTGTCCAAGGCAGAGAGAAATTACTCCACGACTGAGAAAGAATGCCTTGCGGTCGTCTGGGCAATCACGAAATTTCGTCCGTACTTGTACGGAAGCCCGTTCCGCGTAGTCACGGACCACCACTCGCTCTGCTGGCTTGCGAACCTCAAGGACCCGTCAGGACGCCTCGCTCGATGGAGCCTCCGGCTACAAGAGTTACAACATGACTGTGGTTTACAAGTCAGGACGCAAGCACAGCGACGCTGACTGCCTGTCCAGGTTCCCTGTCGAAACACCTTCCGGCAGCAACGACGACGATGATGACGAGTGCTTTCTAGGGGCAGTGAACACCGATGACATGGCACGACGTCAACGAGACGATCCGGAGCTGCGAGCCTTAATCGAGCACCTGGAAGGGCGCGGCGGTACCGTACCCCGTGTTTTCTCACGAGCCGTGCCGACCTTCGCCATTCGACAAGGTGTACTCTACAAAAAGAACTTCGGGGACAACAACTCGCCGTGGCTGCTGGTAATCCCAACCGACCTTCGAGGGGAGATCTTTCAAGCATGTCACGACGACCCGACGTCCGGACACCTTGGATACAGCCGGACACTGGCCCGTATTCGTGAAAAGTATTACTGGCCCAAGCTCCCGAAGACCGTCCACCTGTACACACGATCATGCCACGAGTGCCAGCGACGCAAGAAACCTCCGACGAGGCCGGCCGGACTCCTGCAGCCTATTTTTCCTCCAACTGCACCCTTCCAGCAGATCGGAATGGATCTACTTGGTCCTTTTCCGCCTTCGACGTCGGGGAACCGCTGGATCATCGTCGCCACAGATTATCTCACGCGGTACGCCGAAACGAAAGCTCTTCCTTCGGGGACTGCTGTGGAAGTTGCCAAGTTTTTCATTGAGTCCATCGTCCTCCGGCACGGCGCTCCAGAAGTTCTGGTTACAGATCGCGGATCATCGTTCATGGCACAACTGACCCAAGAAATCCTCCGACTCAGTCACACCAGCCATCGTCGTACAACTGCGTACCACCCGCAGACCAACGGGCTGACGGAGCGACTCAACAAGACAATCGCCGATATGATCTCTATGTACGTCGACGTAGAGCACAAGACGTGGGACGAGGTGCTGCCCTACGTCACGTTCGCCTACAATACGGCGGTTCAAGAGACCACTGGATTCACCCCTTTCCAGCTGGTACATGGTCGGAAGGTAACGACCATGCTGGACGCCATGCTGCCCCATGAGCCATCTGGCAACGAGAGCGACGACGCCCAGGCGGTTGCTCAACGCGCCGAAGAAGTTCGCCAGCTCGCCCGACTCCTGATTCAAGACCAGCAACGCGTCGACGCCGGCCGCTACAACCTTCGTCGCAGGGACGTCCACTTCCAGCCCGGAGATAGGGTGTGGGTATGGACGCCCATCCGTCGCCGCGGCCTCAGTGAGAAATCGCTGAAACGATACTTTGGACCCTGCAAAGTGCTTCGTCGACTCGGGGATCTGAACTACGAGGTGATGCCCGACGGAACAAGGACTTCGTCACGCCGCCCTCCACGACCGGAAGTCGTCCACGTCGTGCGACTGAAGCCGTACTACGCTCGATAGGACTGTGGACCTTATGTGACTCTTTAGTTTACCGTTCTGTTTTATTTGCTTCATTTTGTTTTTGGGTTGCATCGGGACGATTCACTTTTTTAAAGGGGGGAGTAATGCCGCGCGCGCAGCTGGCCAAGTAGGCAGCGCGCGCGTGGCCTAACGGTTATCGCGCGCGCTTTCCACGCTGAAAGCCAGGGTTCGATTCCTGGCCGCGGAGGCGCATTTTTGTTGACTCTGTAAAGTAATGTTCTGGTAAATTCGAGAACCATGTTGCTTGTTCAAGGTCAGAATGTTCTACGCGCCGAACCTTCTACGCCGAACGATCCAGAAACCCACGAGGGTACATAAGGGATTCCGCAAGGCGAACGGAGTCAGTTTCGCACCCGCGTTCGACTCTGCTGCTACGCCGACTTCGACGCCCGCGACGCTCTATTATTATCTTTTGTACTCGTTTATATTTGGCACAAGTTCGCCACATTAAACGCTTATTTCTTTCTGTTTATTTCCTGTTTTTTTTTGGTCACCACCCGTGACAATATCTCGTGCCCCGGCCGCACGAGATATCGCCGGGTTTCTTCTTCTTACAGGGGGTCGCTTGTTTTAGAAAAAAGTCGACAAAGGTTACTTGATTATGTCAGTTGTGGAACTCCCTCCTGGGAGTGAAGGTTCTATCCCCTTGCACTCCATTCAGTTGGCCATTGAAGCTGCAACTGAGCTACTCCATAGTCGGTTATAGGGTTCAGGGGAAACTCCTCCCTGAACTCCTTAACCTGTCCCCACTACATATAGTAACGTTGGTCAGTGTCACGTGGCATCACAATGACGCGTGACGTCACAAAGTCACGCGGCGTTAGGATGTCGTGTGACGTCCCGTCACGTGACACCATACAATACTGCGCCGCTCAAGTTAGCGGGAAAAGCTTTTAATGACATCACGCCAGAACTCACCCAGCCCGGGATCCGCCCTGAAACCTCGTCAACACTAGCGCCACTCTATATGCTCCCTTAGAGAGCTGACTAACGTAAGGCCCCTGCACACTGAGTAACGCCAACTGTAGCGCCACCACTCGGGGACTAGTGGCGAATGCCAAGAAGGTTCTAACACTTGCAGGCTGGACGTATCGGGTACGCAAGAAAGCGAGGGTTCCGTTATATATAGGCCATTTTTTGTGTGGAAACTGTTTGTAATAACATAGGTCAGTGGTTCTCAAACCTTCGATGTTTCGCAGACCCCTTGTGGATCAACGGAGATAATGGAGGACCCCTTTTATGGTGAAGGGAGGGGGAAAATGTATAAGTCAAATATAATAAGAATTTCATAAACAGATACAACTAAGGGCTGATGTGTGAAGTAGAATTCTCGTATTGACAAACACACTAGAAAACTCGCCCGAAAACAAACATATCTTCTCGATCTGAAAAAAAAAAAAAAAGCTTTTATTGCCGGGCTTTACTGACGAGGGAGGGCTTCGCGGACCCCCCTTTTTGAGATCCACTGACATAGGTAAACACTCTAAAAGCATTTGCATCACTTGTTATGGTCTGAGCGAGGGAAGAAGTCTCGTCTCGAGCTCCTCCTGATACATCTTAGAAAAAACAGTGTGCATACACGAGTTACCGCAATATCCGTGGTTCGAATGCCGCGTGCCAAGTTCCTCCTTTACCTCGTTCACATGCGGCATTCGAATCACGGATTTCGCGATGACTCGCGTTCGAATCTGTATGCAGACCGTCTTTTGCGTGATGTATGAGCAGTGTAACCCCGGCTTTACGGTGCCAGACGACACTGCCGGCTCTGAGGTGAGAAGGCGGCAGCCCTGCAGTTCTGCTCCACCTCTTAGTGGAGTCTTTCCAGTTAGCCACTGCAGTATGCGACTGCTAGCCTAAGGTCTATAACGTGCGTAACGCAGTCGTCATACACGAAAGCGGGCAGGTGCGATGCTCTTCCGAATCAAAACGGGAAGAGGTGGGGATTGAGCCAATGACCCCTGGCTTCTGCAGCGCGAACTTTCGTTCCATGTGCTCCAAGTTCAGACGCGCTAATCAAGTCACATGCGCAGAATAAAACCAGCGTATAGTCAATGCGTAGCAAGCAATGCGCTAACGTACGCGCACGTAGGCAAAGTGATATAGAATATGACGAGAGAATTTCAAGAGGAGCTAGCGGCAAGTATGTACAGAAGCAATCGATTAAAGCGTTGTTTTTAGATACTACTCGTACAGTATATATTTTTCTCGCTTACTCGGGGAAAAAAGGTCTGCATGGATTGTGGGCGAAGATCGAAGGCACTGGATTTCGCGCTAGCTTCCGTTTGCAGTGGTTCCGGCGTCCAGAGAACTGATCGTCGCCAAAAAATGAACATCGCAGTTTGTGTTCATTCAGTTCTTGAAGCAGTTACATCAATTATCGCAATAATATAATTCACCTCGCACACCCAAATACAGGAGGTAGGGGAAGCCCTTTCTATTGGTCCGCGACAGCCACAAAAATCGTCGTTTGCGATCTTTATCGCCCTCCGCGATATGAAAACGCTGTTTTCCAGTCTCATACGGGTTCTTAGGGCAGCACCCTGGCATCTGGGTCCCTTTCAAACGCTCGTAATGTTGGAAAGACCAGCGACTGTCGATACCACGTCAATGCTCCCGCCGCGAACACTGAAACCTTTTGCGAAAGCGCAAGAAAACGTTCCGCACGTGATCGCCTTGAGCCAATAGGGAGCGCGAATGGTCGGCAAACTCGAACATCAATGAATGGTGATACCCTGCTTCCTACCGGAACATTAAAAAATAGTCGTTATTTGTTTATATAGCAGAAGATTTGTCTGCCAGAACATGGCAACATCGTTACCCACTACAGATAAGCAAATTAGCCAGTGCAGTAAGACTGCTAGCCTCGGGTCTTTAAAGGCCGGTTCTCACATGCAAAGAAGCACTGACGTGGCGGTGCTCACGTGTCGTCAACTACTTATCGTCTGCCATGAGCAACAGTTGTGACGGAGCTTGCAAAGCTGGTGAACGCTCGCGGCAGCACGCGCTTAGCGCGAGGTCAGCGCTATGCTTGAAGCGCTGCGCTGCATGTGTGAACAGGCCTTAACGTGCACCACGCAATGCTGATACACGACCGCACGCCGGTGCGATGCTCATCCAGATTGGAACGGGATCCCTGGGTTCTGCAGCGCGAGCTTTCGCTTTACGCGAGCTAATGTGCGCAAGCCCACTCTGCCACCAATCCCCCCTCCTGGAACATATGCAGTGGCGCTAATCCATACAGCTGTCGCCGTAAAAATGAAAAACGGTCAGAAAAGGGGTATACTCACCACATCGTGCAGCCGAACTCGGAGTTCCTGCTCACTCCTTTCTTTCTGCGCCCGAACCGTCTGCGGAAAATGAAGAAAAAAAAACAAAAAAAAAAACAAGACGACAGCGTGAGAACTTGCTTCAGAAAGAGAGAAACATACACTATACTTAGTCTTAGACAGAGCGAAGTTAGTAACACCAATGGGCGTCTCCAGTCTATCCGCTGTAGATGAAAATAAACACTTAGTTCAGTACAGTCAGAGCTCTTAGTCCGGTAACGGCTAATGACACGCCTAACGGGGTTTTAGGCGTGACATACACTTTATTTTGACATGCCAAGAGAGTAACCTTGAAAGTAGCCGTGACACTGGCATTTCCTCGTCTCATTACACCACTCTAGGCGTTACAACAGCGTACGTATCCGGGATACTGGCAGCTCCGCACACCGTCGGCGTTACAAGCTGTTTGCCAGGCTGATAATGCAACGCTTATAAAACGAGTCACAGCCAACACTAAAACACAGAGACCAATAGTACTAAAACTTCAAGTTCAAGTGGCTCTTGTCGATGGGAAGTGCACGAAAGGTCATTCCCTGAGGCTGCACCTTTCCTTCTTTGTTTGGCAGCCGGATTTCGACGCAACCTCGACGGCGTCATTAGTCAGAGTACTGACACGAACAAAAGGCCCGCCGAGATGGAAACTAAAAGGAAGAATGGGCACCACGGGGAAGTTGTCCTACCGCTTCCTCCTTTAGACCAAGAGGGGGAGGGGAAGTCCCAAGTGGCCAGACGAAGGCTCTGCAATTTTCGCCGGGACATTTTCCCCCAGAGCCGAAGCAGCGACACAATCGAAGGATCGATGGCAACGATCGTTCCACGCGGCGCCCCTGTCAAGGACCCGATCTAGTCTGCCCAGATTTGAGAGCGTTTCCAACTGCTCGATCTTGCAACGCAATCTGCGAGAAGGGGACAAAAGCGTCCATCGTCCGCATCCAAGCATCCTCCTCGCCACGCGGTGATGCACGTACACGAGCGATACGAGCAACCGGTCTGCGCAACTCGTGTCCGACATTAAATTGCAGACGCTCGTCGTGGCCCGTGTAAAGCTCCTCAGCACTGAAAGTACCGCGAACCCGATCGTACTCAGCTTTCCTCCTTGACGACGTCATTTATGAGCGCGCCGGGATCAGGGAAAAAGAGACGAGTGCAGCGATCGGCTGGGACTCGTGACGCCCCTGATTAGAGACCGAGTCTTCGCCGAACGCTGACGCAGCACTCATGTCCAATCCGCGTTTGCCTCTTTATGTGACGTCATCACTACGACCTTTTCGAACGGGAGGCGTTACACGCTCAACAATGGAGTCGACTGAAAGACGCAACACTGGAGGAGGGCCCTATAAGGAGAGGAGAAAAAAGTGGAGAGGAGGGTCGCCTTACTGTCCCGTATGGAGGAGCTTTAATAGATTACACAAAAGACGGTCCGGAGACGCCGTTCCAGACGTGCCTCCAACAGCGTCTGCGCACGTACGTCTGCGGACATACATTCGAAGCGTACATATGTATGCAGCGAACAGGCTTGGAACGTGCGTGAGGCGTATCCGCGGATATTTCGGGCATCGTGTCCGCAGAGAACAGCCTGGCTTTTTTTGTGACTGCGGCTTTGGGTTTGAAGTTGGTCCTTCTCTTAGATCTAGGCTCCCTAAGCGGCCCTCGGTCGGCAGCCGACGGGGGCCTCGAGGGCACCGGGCTCTCCAACGGCGCAGAAAAGGCCAAAGCGTCGATACTCCGTGTCAGCTTACGATGGAGCGCGGGGGAGGCTACGCGCAGTCCGAACCAACGCTATGCCAGGTAAGCGTCACGTGACCTTCGGACAGGCCGCAGCGACGTGTGGAGCGCGTAGGGTCACGTGATACGAAGTCGGAGCGCTGGGTTGGTTCGAACCGTATACGCTGCGGCGTACCGTAAGGTGAAACGAGGTGTAGTGCCTCGTCAGCAACGCACGGTTCCATTCTAACGCCTGACGTTTCTCGTACCAGCCCAAAGGGGTCGATGTACAAGCATCCATCCACCGGTAAAGAGCGAGCAAACTCGGTTTGCATCGGGAAAAGAAGTATCCGAGTCAAGAGGCGAAATGGTCGTGTGGGTGTTGTTTTTTGATACAGTCGGGAAACGGCATCTTACCGACTCCGGTAGAGAAGGGCCATTCTGCCAATGCAGTAGGAGATCTCTAACAGCTGGTGTTTACCGTGCATCATTCAGTAGATGGCACGACGGAACAGCGCCGAGTATAAGGGCCCTCGAATGCGTAGCACTCGATAATTCGGAGAAAGAACCCCTTCCGTTTGAATAATAATTGGCCTGCCCGACGTCTTCAGACGTATGCATGTAATCGACATCTGTTCTCGTGAATGAAGCCCGAATGCTAGAATAGAAATTGCAAGTGTCCAGGCCAGCTCGTTAGGCAGCATCATAATTAGGGTTCCGAGTTTTCGGTTTAAGCCGATAAAAGTACGCCGAATCCATTTTCGGAAATTCGGTTCTAACCGAAAAAGGTCAAATTTTTGGTTCGGCGTTTTCGGTTTAAACCGATAAAAGTAATCCAAACCCATTCTATAAAATTCTGTTTTAACCGAAAAAAGTCAATGTTTCAGAGAAGGGGGGTGGGGGGGTGGGGGAGGGGGAAGGGTGGAGAGGGCGTTGCAAGGTTCGACATTGTGTGACCTCTTCATGAGTGCCCTTTTCCAAGGTTCAACATGCAACAAAAGAGGTCTTGGATTGGCCTTCGCGGGACATCTGTGTCCTTTCTGTGATCGGGCTCCGTGTGTCAAGTTCCTGGCCCTAAAAAAAGAAAAAAAGTTCGGGTGTGGGCTAGTATAAGGTTTCTAGCTTCATGTGAGATGTGCAGCCAGCGTTTAGTGAGTATACACAAAATACCTTGTGCTTCAAAACGTCGCACCGTGTCTCTGTTGGTTGATTAGCCCATTTTGGATCAGGAGCGCTTCATCTCCTCAGCCTGCCAGTGTCTAGTGTTAACATTAAGAGGTCATTCTCGAAGCCCAGGGTCATTAACAGAAAAAAAAAAAAAACGTGGATCAAAGAGAAGAACCTGGGAAAGTACATGTGTTTACTATAATAAGATGACATAATCCTGATCTACAGAAGGTGAAGTTGCATGTTTTTTGGGCACTGACTTGTTTGTACTTCTGTGTTTTTGTGTGTGTGTGTGTTTTTACAGTTGGACACATTTGCAAAATAAAGTGTCAATGTTTTTTTGTTTTTTTTTTCACTTCCTTTTTTTTCAACGTACTTGTGATCCTTGAGGGATCACAAATATCTTCTGATCCGGTGTCCGATGGTGTTTCTTTCATATTCACCAAAAAGACAACGGTAAACTTTTCTGGGCATAAATAGAAACCGAAAATTGAATCTTAAAATAAACACCGAAAAAGTACGCTGAATTTTGAAAAAATAAAAACCGAAAACGCGGAACCCAGATCATAATCTAAAACCAGGGAGACAGAAAAAAAAAAAAAAAGAAATAAAATAACGAAGAACACGTAAGTCGTGTTCTTCTCGCTAGGTTTGTTCGCGAGAGATCAAAAATCGACCACACAGAAACCAGAAAGGACGTAGGCCCAAAGTATGCCTCCGCAAAATCTTGACGCGTTTTTGCCGGACGGACTAAAGTCCAAAAACCTAGACAATGCAAGCTTCATTTTGTTTTATTGTGTTTCTATATCCTTAATTTTCCGTCAATATTCCCAGAGTTCACAGTCCGGCGAGTCAAGGTAAATACACACCAAAAACAAAACCTAGCTATTGCATGAATAAAACACAGAAGAACCATCGACAAGTATGGCCGTTTCGACGACACGTTCCACCAGAGCACAAACCAAGTAAACTCATCCCAAAATCTGATATTTGAGATCTCGTTTTTTTTTTTTTTTTTTCATTTTGAATGTTTTAGTTTGTAAGCAGCAAAAGCTCCGGCACCCGCACATCAATCAAGATATACTCGGTTCCACAGACTAATGGCAGCAGAATCCGGAGAGTGACCCAGGTCAATACCAGACAAAACATGCGCCTGTCTTCTAGGTACTATTGGCCGTATTGCCAAGGCCCGCTCGCTTGCGGCATGAATATCCATCGAGACGGAAGATCCAACAAGTCGAAAGATTCAATTGGTCACGTGACAGGCAAGACGGAATATCCATCGAGACTAAATGTCCAATTGAGACGGAATGGTCAACGAGTTCGAATGTTCAACGAGACGGAAGATCCAACCAGGCTTCAATGTCCGACTTGACTGAATATCCATCGAGATGGAAGATCTAACCAGGCCTGAATGTCCACCTTGACAGAATATCCAACGAGACGGAATATCCAACGAGGTCTGGTTGCCCACTATGGCTGGATATCCAATGTGTTATGTTTATTTCATTCCTGTAAATTATCTAGCATACTGCTGCCAAATAAATAATGATAAGCCAGGACCTTTTTTTCATTGCACATTTTGTGTCCTATGGGAAAGGGCTTGCTGGATTGCTCCAAATTATATTTAACAAAGCAAAGATCACATAAGCTACGTGTTCTCCGTGCCAGGACGGTATCCGCGACTCCAAATAACTATAGGTGGCGCCACTCATTTTCCAAGATGGCGGGTTTAGTGAGGGTCAGAGATGCGTGCCGCTGTTGAGCCCGTCTAGTGTGCTGGCTTCACTGAGCGACATAAATTATTTCTGGTAATACAAGGAAGCTAATGTTTTATGAGCGCAAGTTACCCCTTTAACCTGAAAACAAGAACGGTGTTTAGCGTATTTTTTTACGGAAGGATGCGCGTTTTAATTCTGGAGCGAAACCGAAACTTACCTTTATTTTGGATTTAATTTCTCGATATAGGCCTTAATTTCGAATTATTTCACGACTCAAGATGTGTCTCACATCGTAATTATTTACTTAGAAGAGTTGTTCGCGGAAACTTTATTTTGTGACATATTGTTCGATCCAGGGTGATATTTGTAGTTGCTGAAAAAATCAGTGCTGATATCTGTGCGTTCTCGCAGCCTTTCTCTCGCTCAGATAATTGTCATGGGAAATAATGACAATTATTCCAGCACAAGAATAAGAAAATAATTTTAATTTTTATAATATGTCCACGAAACGTATAAACTAATAAACGCTGCTCTCACTGCAACAACCCAAAGACGGAATCCGAGTCAGACAGCTGAAGTGTGTGTGTGTGTGTGTTTATAGCACCGCGTGACGTGTAGGACTTCATATTACATCCATTGTTTGACTGTTTGTCTATCTTGATAACTATGTCAGAGTTTTTCATATGCTAAAAAGAAAACAGAATTATACCTTTCTCGGAAGACTATTATTGTTAAA